AGGGTGGCTGGGCCGCGGGGAGGGTCGGCGGCCACCCCGTGCGACCCGGGCGGAAAAGCGACCTGGCACCTCCTCTCCCTGGCGCTACCCGCGGGTGCTGCCTGGGATGAAGGGCCTCAGAGGAGGAGACACTCGTTTTACCCCAGAGCCGTGCCCCGCATACCTACACACTCACCTGAACGGCACCCAGGACTGGAGGATAGAGAAGGTGACAGCTGCGCCAAGATGAGAAGGGAGTGGGGCACAAGGCCCAGGTAGTGAGGGAAGTCAAGGGAAGCAGACTGTCAGCGTTGGGAGAGACCTGAGACGGCAAGTGACCCAAGTCTCTTCTTAGTATAAGTGACTAAACTAAGGCCAAGAGAGGGGACGCCTCCTGCCATTCCAGCCTAGAGACCAAATCACCTCCACAACAGACTACAGCTCTTGGGAAAATCCCAGTGGGCTCCACGGGATAAACTCCAAACTTCTTGGCATAACTTTCCAAGCAGTATTGTTCAAACTTACTTTTCCCCTTTGAGCTCCCATGAATAAATAGAAAAAGACACTTCATGTTCTAAGTATCATCAAACAGTCCCACTCCTCTGCTAAAAGAAGCCTCCTTTTCCTAATCTTCCCGCACTTCCTCAACAGTACTCAGGCTCTGGCTACAGAGAATTCCTGTTTTCCTTGACTACTTAGCTTTCTTCGGATTACTACTTACTTTTTCCCTAAGTACCTTTACTCCTTTTTGCATTTGTTCATTCCTTTGCTTCTGTCTGAAATGCCCTCAGTCGTTACCCTCTCCCTCCTTAAAACCAGAGCCAAACAATAGTTAAAACTAAAAATATTCTGGCAGAAACTATTGCAATAAGAGAATTGATCCCAGTTCTATCCTGAGAGCTCTTTTCCCCTATTCAATAGTTTCTGAATCTGTTTTTACAGCTTACTGTCAGGCTCCTACTCGTCTTTAAGAATCCAGGTCAAATGCCGCTTACTCTTGTCTCCCTTCACTGCATCTTTCTCCCTGATTCAGCAGCATCAGCAATTGATGTTCACTCAGACACTGTCAACTGTGACTTCTTCCCTGATTTCTAGGATGCTGTACACAGTCTAATACATAAATCTCACATTGCCCAAAACTGTACTGTGCATTTCCTGTAAGAGGTAAATTACTTATCACTGTCTTCTTCCTTGGATTATAAATCCTTTGAAACAGAACTTCTGGGCTTAGTACAGTGCCCTCAATATCCACTAAATGAGGTGGCTTGACCAAGGTCATAGCAGTTCAATGAATTTACTAAAAAAAGGCCTGCTTTGCTCAAAGAAACTGAAGTCACTTTCTTTAGGTTACAACCTGATCAATAAAACTTCTGTAAAACATATTTGTGTGCAAAAAAAATGAGGGTTTGGGGTTTGAGTCATCAAATATTTGATAGGGGACAAGTAGTAGGTAGATAAGGAAGGGAGGGAAACACCTTCCAGGAAAGAGAGCAGTGTGTTCAAAAGTAGAGAGGCATGGATCATTTTTTAGGATAAGCAAATCAACACTGTATGGCTGGACTTAGTGACCTTATTTACCTCTGGGACAAAGGAAACCTAATTAGTTAATGTTGTACTTGAAAGAATGACATATCTATTAGTATTAGTATTATTTATTGGATTGAGTATCTTTTCATCAGACAAATCACAGGCTCTTCAAGTAAAATTGGCCTGTGGACACATGCTAGGTGATTTTTTACCTTTTCTACTTTTTCAGTTCCAAAAGCTCTCTATAATTATCTAAAAATAATAAAATTATTTGTTCCAAAAGGTTATTTGAGGGCACTCTAAATTTTTTCTACAGGACAAAATAATTTACAAGCAGTACTTTAAGGGAAAAATGAGGTCTTGGAGGACTACTCCTCTTTATGCTCACACTAATAGATGACTATGCTGGTAAAAAGTACCTTCCAAGAGCCTAATGAACTACAATTAATGTAAAGTTTAAGTTGGAATGGGACATAGGAGAACAATTCTAATCACTCTTAAGGGCTTCAGAATTACATTTCAAAAATTAATCTCTCAGTAAATGGAAAATTAGAACATTGTCTTGTGTTTGCTCCCTTTTCTCCACTGTGCTCCTCTGTGAGTGTCAATTTAGGCCACTTGTGGGTCAGCCAATTCACCCCTACCTCCTTCAGCTGTACTTTCTAACCCCTGATTGAGTGTACCTCTTACACAATTTTTTTTTGCTAAGAAAATCTTCTGAAGGTCCCTTAGGTGAACTCTTGTTTTGCATAGGCCACTGCAAAGTTCTTGATATTGGGCAAGCAAAATACAAGAGATTTCAGTTACTTCTTCAAAGACTTGAATATTATTTCTTCTAGGAGAAACAGCTGGGAGCACCCAAATTATCTTTACCTTCTCTGCTCCTTCTCTCCTCCTGGGGTTGGTCAAGATTAAGAGGAATGAGCCAGAGAACCACCAATAATGGCTAAATAGGGAAAATTCAGGTCACTATTTAAGATTGCTTACCTGTTTTGTAACACACAATCAGGAAATCTGGCTTGACAGTCTCAAAAACTATATAATTATTTTGAGAATTGAGGATGACATAAATGCTTTAGGATTCTGCAAGTGTAATAAAATACAGAATCTATCCAGAGGGAGATTCCTTGATTTTCAATTAACTAAACCAAACAGGGTAAACATGATCAATCACAATAAGTTACTTCAATCATTATAGAGCAAACTAGTTTGGAGATAAGGGAAGTGGGGGAAGAGAGATTAACCAAAGAACTTATATGCATATATGCATAACCCATGGACACACACAATAGTTAGGTGAAGGCCTGGGAAGAAGGCCAGAACAGGGTGGAGGGAGGGGGGACATCTGTAATACTTTCAANGTTAGATGAAGGCCTGGGGAGAAGGCCAGAACAGGGTGGAGGGAGGGGGGACATCTGTAATACTTTCAACAATAAAAATAAAATTTAAAAAACTACTTTGGGGATAATTTCTGCTTTTATACTGGGATAAATANACAATATAAATAAAATTTAAAAAACTACTTTGGGGATAATTTCTGCTTTTATACTGGGATAAATAAACATGGCATAAAATGTGGAAAAAATATTTAAAGAAGTGGTAATGGAAAATTTAAAAATAAATTTTTATTTTAATTCCTTTTTTTCCTCCATCCCAAGACCAGATGAATTTCCCCTTTTCACCTTGCAAACACCTTAAATAAACGAACAAGAATCTTAGCTCTAGCTAAAGTAGACTATCCTGCTGAGTCATATCTTCACCTGCAGATGCTGAGCTGAACAGGTGCTGTGCTAAACAGGTAGATAAAGAATCAAACCTACCCTGCTAACCTAGACCAGGCATGAGACCCTTCCCAGCACAGCACCTCTCATGAGTGCCTATATCGCTCTCACATAAGGTCACTTTTATGCATAAAAGTGATCCAATACATTCTGTTTAGAATTGCTTCTTTGTCCTTTGACAGGTGAAAGAGCTTCTTAAATATAGAATTCCTGCACTGTCCATGTGAACTGACAGTGCACTCTTTATTTTATTCATCAGCAGTGATCCTGGTTTCATCTTCATTTAGATGTGGCAGCACCACAAGGAGCAACATCGTTCTATAGGAAGCCACGAGCTTCTGATAGGTATTATGAGGTCTCTGGTCCTCCAGGGAGTAAGACCTCTGACTGCAATTGGCTATGAAGCAGGACAATTTTCTGGATGTTAGGATGCATCTTGAAGACTTCATGGAATAACCTCAGGGTGTCAGGGTGGTGAGGGGGGCAGTAAGGATATTCTCAGATGGGGCTTTCTCATTGGTTTGAAATAGCAAAGGTGATGTTACCTGGGACAAATGAAATGACACTATGAGGAAGCAATTAGACAAATCCAGAAT